GATATTGTTATCGCCTGGGAATGCATCTTGATCGCTCCGCTGCAGCGAAGCCGGGGAGCGATTCGTTGCTGTGATTGCTATCTTGCTAATATCAGTGGCAGGTGCAGCACCAGTCAAAGCAGACGACATTGTGCCACTTGCTGCCGAAGAAGGCAACAGAGAGGAAGGGATGATGCTTACCTGTCCCCCTGCTGCTGCTGCCGCTGCTGCGGTAGGGGTAAAGCCGGAAGTGGGACGTGATTCTGAGGCTAGGTCCTCGTGATGAGGAGGAAGGCTGCCGCTGGTCCTTTCAAGCTGAGTTTCTCTGCTTTGCATTATCCCGTCACCGGCCTCTTGCATGCTCACATGCGGGCGGGGAATAACCGCGACAGTTTGGTCGGTATCGCGACCACCGCAGCTGTTCTTCCCCACACACCGGCAATCGTTTTCGTCACCAAGCCGTCCGGATATCTCTTCAATATTATTATGGATTTGTTGATCGAGATGAGCTGCTGCTGTCTCCCCATCTCTTCCCCCTCCTCCTCCTCCTCCCCTTCCTCCTCCACCTCCTCCCATTCCACCCACCCTCCCTCTGCTCCTTGACTCAATGACTGGCCCAGAGTCGAGATGCTCCTGCGCAGCTGCGATTGCCCGTTCCCGGGATCCCGAACTTCCCCCTCGTTGCGGCGAGCCCCCAGCCACGTCAAGCCAAATCCCGATCCCGGCACAGCCAGTTGATGATGGGAGAGTCCCGCAGATTCTTCACCTCTTCCTCGCCCAAGAACCCCACAACATCTTGCGCGGAGAAGGGCGTCCGTCCGCGAAGATGCGTCCGCCCCCCCCTCCGCCTCGGCGGAGCCTCCAGAGGAATCCCCCCCCCCTCCCTCGCCCCCTTCCCCCTCTCCTTCTCCTTCCACTTCCGTTGCCGCCGTCATCGTTTCCCGCACTGCCAGACACGGTGACCTGCTGTCATCCTCGTGATCGCTGTTGTTGTCTCCCTCATGGTGGCGCGCACCACCCTGGCCCTCAGCAGCAAATGATGCGCCGCCGCACTCCCCACTCCCTTCCTCCGCCTCCCCTCCTTTAGCTCTTCCCTGCTGCCGATGATGAGCCCGGGGCTGCTGCTGCTGACCTCGTTCCTGCTGCCGATGGCGTTCGGAGTAATGACCCATCGTTGCCAGCGGCGTCCACGGCATCCTCCCAATCCCACCTCCTCCATCAGAAACTCCAAGTGACGAACAACTCCTCGGTTCACCAGAGTGCAGCAACATCGAGCTCCCGGGTCCTCCATTCAATGCATCCGACCCTCCTGCCGTCTCGCAATGACGGCCTGGATACTACCGACTAGCTGCAGCTTCTACCTCCGTGTAATTCCGATAAGCCGCACTCGAATGATGAGCGCCGGGAACAGGACTCAGCTTGCCAGACGGGGTGGGAGGAGATTCGAAGGCTCCTCCTATCCCACGATTGACGTGATGATGATAAACGTCGTGCCGACGCAGCACTTCGTTCCCCACCCCTCTCATCATCATCATGTCGGAGTTGTGTTGATCGGACGACATCCGGGACGACAGTGGCAATCTCTCTACTTCCCCTCCCTTCATGACTATCTGTCCTGCATGTCCTCCACCACTTCCTCCTCCTCCTCCTCCTCCTCCTCCTCCTCCTTCTTCTCCTGCTGCTGCTACTGATCCCGACCTTGTTCCAACTCTATCGCTACAAGATGGTCCTGCTGCAGTACCCGCGCCACCCCCGTTTGTCAAGAGACTCTTGACTGGGATCTGCCCGGCAGTTCCCGAAGCGAACAAGCTGGCAAACACACTACCAGCAGCTTGGCGCGGAGCAGGAGGTATCTGAGAGTAATCCAAGGAGGTTGAGTGATGGAAATTGTAGTTGACAGGCGAAGCCAATTTATGGTTCTCCTGACTATGGAGATTCGACAGGAGACAACAAGACGATGGTCCTCCGACTACCGAGCCCGAATGGTCCACACCGAGCGTGCTGCTGCTCTGGCCCAAGCATGTCCCTGGAGAGAGAGAGAGAGAGACAGAGAGAGAGAGAGAGAGAGAGAGAGAAGGAGATCAATTAGCGCATTGCATACGTTGATTGGATGGCGCGCAGGCATTCCTCTCGACGAGTTGGATGGCAGATTGTGAATCAATGGCCACGAACATGGAATTGCATACCAATCTGTCTATACCTCTTCTCGTAACTGTTGCATGTCCTGATATCAGGACATGCAACTGAATGCATACCAACAAACTCAGTCCATGTTTTCGCCATCGTCCTTCTCGTCCTTGTCATTTTCCACCTCTTCATCATTGCCTGCCGTCTCCTCTTTCTCCTCCTCGTCCTCCACTTGTTCCTCCTCCCCCTCTTCCTCTTCCTCTTCCTTTCTCCTCTTTCTTCCTCCTCCGCTTCTTTCGCCTCTTCCTCCCCTCCTCTTCCTCCTCCTGGTCTTCGTCCCGCCTTTCTTGTTGCCGGTATCGGGATAGGTTTTGCTTGTTATCCATTCGTGACCCAGTTCCCCGTTTATCTCTTTCCTTGGGACTGTATAGCTCTTCCCGGGATCCGGATAGGAAAGGCTATATATG